TTAGGCTGAAGAACCCTTATGTGCCACTTTACAGTCACTTCTGACAAGTTTAAAGAAGTCAAAATTATGTTAAAGTTTAAATATCTAGCTAAAGGGCTTTGTGTATGCCAGGAACGTATATTTGGAAAATACATGGTGGTCTTTAGCATCTGTGGTCTTAGAAATTTCAATTCAAAGCAGCTTCTGTCTTTTCCTTTCCTTCTGCCAGAAAGTGTTTCAAAATAGGAAGCTGGATTGAAAGTGCCTTCTTATTCTTAGAAAGGTTGTGCCAGTGTTACCACATTGTTACTTAAGTAGCTGCAGAGCTGTGACATTTCTCCAAGTCTGGTGTGTACAGACTATGAAGAGAACCACCCATAAGTTTTATAAATGTACTTATTAATTGATATGCTATTTCAAGTGTATTTTACTGTCATGTCCTGATAGATGGATTTAGATATTCTTTTTTACACTGGCTAAATGAGGGCTGACTGACAGCTTTTTTTATTATTCATATCTACATGACTTGTATTTTTCTACTGATTTTTGGAGTGCCTATGTGTATCTTGTATGATTTCCTTTTGATGATTCTAAAAAGTCAAAATAATGTTTTAGTACTAAAGTAATACTTTAGGAAAGCATAAGAGGAGTAAACGTAGCCAGAAAAGCTAACCTTTCAGAGGGGGGTGAGTGGGTCGTGAGGTGGTCATTAAGGCAATAATTTTGAAAGACTGTCTTGGGCTTAAACTTGTTGCACGTGACACAAACAGGTGTTGTCTGTAGCTGTTATATTTTAAGAATTGAATGATAGGTCTATAGCTACCTTGGGTGGGATTCATCTCACTTAGACTTGGCTATCTAATCTGTAGAGATCTAAAGATGAGCTAGTTAGTCTGGTCTTCGTATAATTACTGAATAGAAGTAGGCACTCTTGGACTGTATTTCATCTAACCAACTGTAGGAATCTATTTTAGATTGAGATTAATCACCCTAGAAATGTTGTATTTCATCTAGCCAACTGTAGGAATCTATTTTAGGTTGAGATGAATCACCCTAGAAATTTCTTCCCTCCAAGAGGGACTAGAATGGCTAGTTCAGATGTGGACATCTTTATTTGTTCAGATGAATCTCACCTTTTAAGACTGGTGGAGTTTGGCCATGAGCCTTTTGTAATAGATTGTGTTTGTTTAGGAACTGAAAACCTTAGAACTGTTAGTGGAGAAAACAGTCCAGGAATGTGGGATGTATTTAGAAAATATTATTGTCAGTAATTGGAAAAATGTAGTGTCTGTCAAGCCGTGTTTCTTAATGCATTGCATGTCATTATTTACACAGAACCTTTGCTGAACATAGGAATATGGTTGATTTCCTATGTCTTTACTTCATATCCCACCCCAAAACAGTAGTTTCATGTTGCTCATTTGCAGTTGTTCATTTCCTTTGGGACTGTAATTTTTTTTTTTTTTTCTTGTAGAAAAACATGAGAGAGGTTGTAGTTCAGTAGGGTATGGTCTTATATGTTGTTATGATGAGAACTGTGATGCTGATAACCATTCCTTAAATACTTCATTTGCCTGATTATGAAATATATTAAAGTTAGTGTTAAAATAATAGTTTTTTTATTTCTGATACACTTACTCAAATGAGCTATTTTTCATACGGTGTGTTTGTAATGTTTGGGTGGTCTTTGTTTTTTTTGCAGAGAATGATTACAGTGGGGTTTTTTTAGTATTACTTTCATCTGTCCTGATGTGCTTAATATACTTTTAAAATATTTTTAATAGAGATAAGTATATATGCTTAATACTGAGAGCCAAACATAGATCATAAATAGACACATGTATTTGAGGAGTTATTCACTTACCATTCAAATTCGGTTATTAGTATGCCAGGGCATTAGCAAAACTTTGAAATGAACGGTAATATTTTTTTTAAAAACCATGTCATTTCTCAGTTGGAATTTTATTTGACTTGCAAACCAGATTAGTGTAAGTAATAGCCTTTGGGGTGGTAAAACAAAATATTTCTAGTTGAATTAAACTGTTTCTAGGAGTTTAGAAATTGACTAATGATTTTGATTTTCCAGGAAAATAAACTTGTAATAAGAATGGTCTTTCTGGATATTATTTTTTCATGAAGCAAGAGTGCTGTGAAATTGGGAAACATTTAGTTTTGCTTCATATGTTCTTAGGGATGTTCGTTTTTGATGTTAATGGTATGAAAATGTTCACAGAAATTGAAAATATAAGAAATTCAGCCAGGTGCACAAATGAAAGTATCCAGCTTTTTCCTATCGTAGAAGCTTATCCTGGTTACTGGAGTGCATTCTAACTCATTCTCTTTGTGAACCCCAAAATTTTTAAATCTGTTATCCAGCTCTCCCAAAGTGGTATAGCCGGAGAAGTAGAGAAATCTTTCATCACAGACTACACAAGGTTAAGACACTCTACAGGGAGAGAGTAAGCACCTTGGAATCACCTAGCATCATTATGATAGCTATTATAAAGCCCTAAGAGATTATTTTAAAGCACTCTTACTGACTTCTCAAAGCTGACTTAGCTTTATGAACTGTTTCTGTCTGCTGCTTGTTCAGTGAGTAGTAGGTATTAAAAAGATTTGCTCTTGTCTGTTAAATGCCGAATAATTACTTTGCTACTACGTTTGGTAGTTCTGAAACTTTAAATTTATTTCTCTATTTGTTTTCTTTTGCATGGTTTTTGGGTTTGGTTTGGGGTTTGGGGGGTTTTTTTTGAGAATCTTAAAGACTACATATAAAGAATATATGCTGCATGCTGGACATGTTGGGGATCAATACAGATTCTTAGCCTTATATTTTTGTCTAAGATCAACCAGCTATCTTACTGGCATTTAGTTAGATGACATTTAACATGGACTTAGTTTGTCACAGTGTTAGTATTTAGGATTCAGTTTATCACCTAAAATTTGCAGAAGTTCTTAATAGGTCATTATTGCTGACAATCTAAACATTTTTTATTTTCTTAGTTAAGAAAAAGAGAAAAGGGTGTTATTGGGAAATGTAGAGGGGATAAGTGCAGTATTCAGAATTTGTTTCTTGAGTGTGAGGAAAAAATAATAGTTATTTTGATAATATGAAGGATAAATTGGAAAAGCTGTAAATGATGCATTTCATTTTGTTCCTTTAAATGGAAGTGGTTTAGAAAGCAGACTGGCCATCTGCGTGCAAAGGAGTATTTAGGTCAGTGGGTCTGTTCTCTCCTGCTTTGTTCCAGGACGAAAGGATGTGCTGTGCTGAAGGCATTCTTGTCTCTCATACATGTAGGTTTCTGTTTAGTAAATACTCTTCCATGACTATTCATGAAGTATGATTATACTTCAATAACTTAATGTAGTAATTACAGGCTGCTGTAACTTAAGTGAATTAAAACTACTCTTTATAAATAAAGAGTTCCCTTGGAATTGTTGATGGAGGTTTGTTTGTTTGTTTTTGAAATTGCAAGAATTTATAGAAGAAATATAAAATGAGACTATTAGGAAGTTATGATTAATCATAAAACTATTTCAGACATCTATTTGTACTCTTGTAGTATTTATGATGTAATTTCTTTTAATACATTTTTAATATCCCTAACTCAAATATGTTGTGTATTTGAAGTAACCAAATTTTCTTTGTTGCAGATGCCCAAAGGTTGTTAGTTATTTGTCAAGCATTTATTGATTCTTTGAGTTTCCACCTCTTTTTTTGGAACTTCCTGTGTGACTTAATGAGTTAAAGAGCTTTCTAAAATAAAACAGGGCTGACTTTGTGTAGTCTGACTTGGTAGAGAGAGGATTAGTGGAAGACCAGGCAAGCTGTTGTTCAAGTATTAGCCTATTTTCATTTAACTGTCTAGAGTAATATTCCAACAGAAAATGAGAACCTAGGAGGTAATTTTTCTGATGTAAGATGTTCTTACACCTAAGAAGAAAAAAAAACCCACACACTGTGTATAATTTTTTTATATGCCTTTACCTGTCATTTACAGACAGCATATGTGCTAAGAAAAAAAAAAAGCTCACAGTAAAGTATCCAGTTTTTCTTCCTGCTGGATTTTGAAAGTACCCATCTTGGTTTTTGCCTCTTCCTAAAAGTAGGAGATGCTCACTTCCTTAATGACCTCCCTCAGTGCCTCATCTGACCCTTCATGGAGTTAATTCTTATATTCTTTCTAGGTGTATAACATAGGATACTTTCCTCACTAGGACAGGAAGCCTAAAGGAGTGGCTACATTTGCTGAAACAGAATTAATTCTGATTATTTACCTAACCATCAAACGGGTGATTCTACGTGATAGCTTTGCATTGAGATAGAAAAAAGTGTAATAGTGCTTAGATTCCTGGAGGCAGTTTTCCTTTCCCAGTAGGTTACTAGCATTATTTTGGCTTGTGACTTCTATCCCTCCCAGAATCAAAGCAGTTGTCCTTGAGAGGAGAATTGTGAAGGGAACTTTAAGGTAGAACTTGTCAAGCTTTCAAGACTCTCCCAATTTACATTGCTTACGTTATGTGTAATTATAGATTTTATGTCAGAACGTAGTTATGGCAAAATTTCATTTTGTGCGTCCTGCTTGTTTAAAAAATACTTTTTTTTCAGTTAAAAAACATGGGGTTTTTAAGTTGAATTTTGTGTTAGTTGCAGTATTTTGATCTGCTAGCTAATGCTGTTTTGTGATTTTACAGCAGGATGTTTGAGGTGCTGGGGGATTTAAGTGTAGTCTGCTAAGGTCATGTGAGGTTGTATATTTTATGTGTTGATTGGGTTGATGAGATCGTTACAAGACTGTGGGAAGACAGTGTACTCTTTTCTATACTTAAGTTGTAGCAGTGCAACCTTTGTTTTTTGTGTCAGAGGCATAGAAGCCACCCACGAACAATTTTTTTTTTCCCAGATGAAAATCAGAATGGATACGCGATAATGTAGCTCTGGACACTGAGTTGCTTTTTTTCCCTCCCCCCCCCCCC